CAACCCATAATGTGTTGCCTTCTCCAGGTAAATAAGCTCATTATTCAACCTTCTCAACACATTGCGATCATCTAGTGTTCTTTTGAGTGAGGTCTTAAACTCATTTATTATCTGGCTTGTTCTTGTAGCCGATATAAATGTAATGCATGCTCTGATTGGCTAATCGTAGGGCATTATTCTCCTGTAATGTCCACGGGCCAATTACAGGCTTGAAAACACAAAAGAAAAAGCCATAAATTATAATAAACAACTTGTCAACCTCGAATGTTCCGTCTTTATGGGAAAATCTCAAACCTCAACCTTGCTGTATTGCCCTCGCTATCGCTCAGTCAATATGGCAAGGTCTTGGTCTGAGATTTTCCCGTAAAGACCTCACAAGCTTTTGCAGATTCACAACATCATTGACTTGACTTGACGAAACACAATAGTTTAACACCCCACACAAAAGAACACTAAACTGTGCGATTCCAGAAAATTTCCATACCCCCACCATGGAGGGAATCGGAAATTCCAGAGCCTGGGTGGGGTGGGGGTCAAAGACCCAGGAAATTCAGGGGGGTTGGACGGTCAATTTAGTTTCCAGATACCCTTTGATTCAATACGGTTTCAAGTATCAATCTAGCTGTTAAAAACTGATTTCTTGCCAGCTATTTAGTAGATCTTTCACATGAAAAAAATAGTAGCTTGAATACTTGTAATTGAATCGCATAATATTTAAAAACAACTTTGGAAGCTAACAAATGAGAAGAACGTACGTTGCGTGGAAATGGCTGTCATTACTTGTTACTAGTCTACATGGAGTCATCTTGTGGACCAAAAAGCACTGGTGACTAGCCTAGTTTGTTTTCGAATNTTATCTCTGTCTGTTTGTATGTAATTTTGCTGTAAAATTGGGCTTTTTCGCAAGTGTGTTAGCCAGTGCTTTCATTAGAAGCCGGCTACCGCCGGAGCTCCAGTGGCTGTAAGTCATTGAGTCACCGGCTACTTGGCTGTGTCCGTCGACAAAAATTTCAAAAATGTAACTCTTACAATATTTACTGCCTACCTATTTCTCAGTTCAAATAAACTGAAGTAATATATCAAACACACAAAAAAGAGAGTTGAAAATATGACGCGCAGTGGAGTATTTTTGATGAACTTCGAGGTGTTTGGAAATGTGGTCAAACGCTGCCTTGAGTGTTTGACATATCTTCTCTTGAAATTGAAACTAAAACTAAGGAGAAAACAGAGAAATAAAATCGTAAAAATCTCTGCTAATTAAGATCAGATATCCAAACACCGTCACAGGCATGATTTCCTTTGTTTAAACTTGATGAATTATTACTGAGTTTGAGAAAAAATATCTGTTACATTTGCCTTGACTGTTCGTGTATATAAAAGCCTACATATTCATTGAATATGATTACAAATTGCA